TTGTAAGGGAGAAATGAACCATGAAAGGGGGTTCTGTTTTCCCGATGGTTTAAAATGATCATGCAATCATGGAATAAAACGATAGCCAATTGGAAAGCAAGCTGAAATAGATTTCTACTCACTTCCTGCTCGCTCTCTAACATGTACAGCCCATGTTTAGGTCGTCGTCACAACTTCGTCCTTTTATGTTTTTCTTTGTGAATTTTCAGTCCAATCAAGAACTAAAACTATAATTTATATTTCTCCCTGTTAATCGTGTGTCATGTTTGTTTACTCTTAAGTCACATCTGACCACAAGAGATGTGTCAGATTTGAAGTTTACACAGTCAGGACTCTGGTTGTTAGGGAATGGAATCTTTTCGAGTCTGGTGTGCTGTTCTGGTCATATATCGTTGCTCTTCACACAAAAGGAACAAAACACTGTTAAATTTATCGTCCTTCATTGTCATGTGTGGGGTCTCTCAGGCTTAATGAACCATAGCCATCCCTGAATAACACAAATGTGGTTCTGTTTAACTGCAGAAAAAGTGATACAGCTCGAGTTTCATTTAGATCATTATATTGGGGAACCCTTTACAGTCCCCTAATAACCAGGTATTTATCTGGTAATTGTGGTGCATTATGGTGTGATACCAGTGGAAATAAGATGGTTACAGGGAATCACAGGGAAACTTTCGCTGAATTACAAAGAAAGCCTCCAGTACTTGGCTACATTCCTGTCCAATAGGCAAAAATGAACATATTTAACAAGCAGAGAAGAAAAGAGAAGCTGGTATTAATTAATCTTGTCAAAACAACAAAATGTTAAAGTTAACATATCTTAAAGTGATGCAGGAGCCTCATTTTCCAGTTAGTTACCACAGGGATCCTGGCTCTCAACAAGGATCAGTTCATATTTTAATAATACTCAACTGTCTGCAGCCCCTTCAGCCCCTTAGCCGAGCTTTCTAAAGACTGAACACCAAGATAATGTGCATTAACACAATTATCAATCTTCTTCAAACAGGATTTGTGCACCTCTTCAAGGGAAATATTCACTACGAGTTCGACTCACTCTCCAAAAGTGTTGTCTCCACCGGCCCTCTTAACAACGAGCTGGACTGCAGGGAGATGGGGGACAATGAAGTCCTGCCTGAGAGGAGATAACGTGAGGACAGACAACCCAGTCTCATGTCAAAATATGTAATACCTACGTTGGTCCACAGCGCAAAACGTAGTAGTTTCACAATAAGGGCTCTAAAATTGTGATATGCCTACGTTTCCTTTTTTCTATTCTTTTGTATAAGCACACCTCAGGTCACGTGACTGCCCAGTTTTCCCCTGGCGAAAAAAAAAAATCACACAAACTGTACAGTATTGTCTTTATGTATCAATGATTGTTACATTTTATAGTTTATAATGTTGCTAATATGCATCGATCTGTTCCAATCGTTTTATTAAATTTGGTTGTAATGAAAGACATCAATAAAAATGTAACAGAAATCATTATTTATTGCATAGGAGTTAGTTTGATGTGTAGGGTCTGATGTAACCCGTTTTAAGAGCTGCGAACCAAACGTCCACTTCCTTCTGGTTCATTGTTGATAGCGTCCATAGCAACCACCATAGCAACAGTAGAAAACGTAACAACGCGACATTTTTCTATCGAGACCTGAAAGAATCTTCGTGGAAACGAACAAACTAAAGATCATAAACAAAAACCGAACGAAGATTATGAAGATACAATGTACATTTGTCGCCAGAAAGGTTTTCAAAACGACACTTAAGCCTCAAACTATCTGAGAATATTGCATTTTCCACCAAAAATAGAAGGGATGTCCACCATGTTTTTTTTTCGCCAGGGGAAAACTGGGCAGTCACGTGACCTGAGGTATGCCTATACAAAAGAATAGACAAAAGGAAACGTAGACATGTCACAATTTTAGAGCCATTATTGTGAAACTACTACGTTTTGCGCTGTGGACCAACGTAGGTATTACACATGTTGACATGAGACTGGGTTGGGACAGACACTCCATGTGGGCCGATGACGACATGACTTCTGTTTCTCTGCTGTGTTTGTATACACAGTAGCAATAACCGCAATGTGAGCAATAAGCACAATGTGCAGCTTGGGAACCAAAGTGTCTCAAAGTGTCTCAAAGTGTTTCATCAATGTGAAGAAACTTTCAAATGTTGTAATACCAATATTTGTACCTTTTTTTAAATCAGAGTTTATTGTGCGTGTTGTTTTTTATTTTTTTTTGTATATAAAGACCATTTCATTTCTTTTTTAAAGCTTTATTCTCAGGATTTTTATGCCTTTATTTTAGAGATAGAACAGCAGATTGAGTCAGAAACCAGGGAGAGAGAGCGTGGGGAACTGCATGCAGGAAAGGAGCCACAAGTCAGATTCTAACCCGGGCCATCAGCCCTCAAGGAATCAAGCTTCTGTACATGTGGTGCACAAACACTTTGTATAACTTTTTGGCGATTAAAACTATGGATTGTTCCTTTTCTGTTGCATCACTGCCATCCTGAGTGTCTGCGTAATCCGCCATTGATCAATCTACCTGAGACAATAGATTGCAGCGGATTCTGAGTCCAGGATTATGTAAGTGTAGCTTTTCACTGAAATGATGAAAGAATTGCTAATGGATAACGACAGATTTAAGCAGATGGAAAGTAACCGGCATATTGACTCACAAAGCTCTTGAATGTAACTTTTCAGTTTGTCACAGTGTGCATGAAGGAAAGACTGAGTTTTTTTTTTTCATAAAGTCAATGGATGCAAAAGAACAAAAGTTTATTAATCCACAATAGAAGTGACTCATGTCAGTGAATACAGCTGCTTGTTGGGGTATTGTGACACAGTCTGTGGATTAAAGTGTACACTATATACAGTTTCAATTACTACCTCACATGTCACAACTTTTAATTTAAAATGTTTAAAAACAAGACACAACACGCCTATGTTTGTTAGCGAGGCTCATAACTATTTTACCAGAGGCAACAGCAGTGTGCAGGCTGTCTGAGTCAGAGGACACAGGTATGTCACCGGCATGGAAAACTCTGAGGACAAAAATGTTTTAAATTGTCATACACATTTAAGATGACAGTCACTGCTGTAAGGGGATAATTAAAATGCTGCATGGATGAGATCATATGAACGTCTTTGAGAGTAAAGCCCTCTAATCATTGATCGTGAGGTGACGCCACTAGTTCTTTGCCGTCTGCTTGGTGTGTCAGGGCCTAAAGGCAACCCCACACGGCCGTTTTGGATGCCCCTCGGTGTGCCAGGCAAATGGCAAACCAGCAGGTGTTGCAGTAATGGAAGCGGGAAGGAAATTGGTTTACATAAAACAACCTAAAAAGAGAGAGAGAGGTTAGAGCTCTTAAAGGTTTACAGACTGATGCAGAGCTGGCTAAACACTGAAGCTTTAGTCTCCACATGGCAACCAGCGTGAGCATTGGCTCTAGGGAGGAGGGGGCGGGGGGAGACAGCTCTCTCCAATGTTTTGAATTTCGACTGCAGTACCCATTTTAAACACTAGGTGTCAGAGTTACATATTGCTCCTTTAAATATTATTTTCTGGCATACTGTACAAAAATAAGAACACATTTATTTAGTTAATAAACACAGTTATGATTCAGACTAAACTATTCTGCAATAAGACACGACACATTATAACGTGTAAAATCAAGATTAGACAATAATTGGACTCTACTCAGTTCCTAATGCACCATTAGACATAACTTTACAAGATCAAGGTGTAATTAGAAATCAAAGACGATGACAAAATGGATCCAAATATACGAATCAGACTCTAAAATTCAGTTATACTTACAAATCTCAAGAACACCTCATTTGATGCTGCAAACATGGGATTTGATAGCTTCACTCATATAACATAGGATATCAAGGAATATTATGTCATGGATAGCCTTAAGAAATGTCAGACGAAACACAGATCTCTGAAAGTGTTAATTACGACTTTTGTCTGTAATTTCTCTCTCTCAAATATCATCATGTGGGTTGAGATCAAATGTCAGTAAAATGCATGAAAGCCTCTCTTGGTTTAAAGTCAGACTTTGATTATTGTATTCACTGATGGTTTTCTTACAGAACATAATAACAACTAAAACTCCTTTTAATGTGTATAGAGGATTATCCTTCAGTACAGACACACACCATTATCCAACAAGGCATGCTGTGGGAGGTTGTTTGATTCTTTGTAAATCTTAAACATCATCATCTCCATGTTCAATAACAAACAGAACGATGCTTTAAATGGAATTCACAAGTCAACAACAAAACATTGTCCACAGTTTTTAAAGAACATTGTCTACAGATAAACTTTAGTCAGTAATCGGAACATTTTTGTGTTATAGAATAAATATATCTAAAATATGAATGTGTAAACTGTATTGTCACAATGTAAACTGCGGACCCCAAGAATAGCTTCTCGCTATGCTGAAGCTAATGGGGATCCAAATAAACAGAAAGAGAATCATGAGATTAATTTAGTCTTTTTTTTCTTCTGGAAATTTTAACAATAACACCATAAGATGATATTTGCACATTTTAAAACACTCACACTGCTATATACAGTATTAATATACAGTATTAATGTGGACCAATGCAGTAACCTGACTCAAAGTGTCCATCTATGTTTCTGTTTGGATCCACCTGAAATACATTCTGAAAATTTTACATCATAAATTATTGTGCATTTATTTTGACTATAATTTTGCTTGTTTGTTTTTGTTTTTGATAATGGAACAAAGAATATATTTTAAAACACTATCTGCAAGAAGTTGTAAAAAATAAATACAGTAGTACATGTTTATTTCTTCATGTCCTGAAAATCTTCCACATTTTATAATTACTGTGACTATATGTGGGAAACTTTTTGTTATATGATGAGCAATAAAAGTGCCACTTCCTCTATTACCCATAAAAGGGAAACTGAGTCACGGAGTCGTCGAGGTAGTTGCTCAACACGCCCTGATCGCAGCCTTTATAATGGCTGCCTGCAGGACAAGGAGACATTCAGCAACACACATGGAGACTTTCAATCTATGCGTTCTACTAAGCCTGGCAGTCACAGTTTACTGTGTGCCACTACCACAGGTGACTGTGCAGGATGAGACTTTTGCAGAGGTATGTATGCTTTTTTTGCTTTTATATGCATGTTTTCATACTATTCTGAATCATAGTAAATGTGGAAACCTTATTATTCTAGAAAATGTTAATATTAGACACAGGAAGAAAATGATTAGCTGCTTACTCTGCCCTCTCTAAATCAGCAAACAGATAACATCTTCCTTCTTTTTACATTTCATAGCTGATGCATTGTTGGGTATTTAACTTTCAATCTCTCTTGCAGAGCTACCTGAAGAATTTCTTCAACCTTACGGAGGAGACGGGTCCGACTATCAGACGAGGAATCAGCCCTGTGACCAAGAAGCTGAGTGAGATGCAGAGATTCTTTGGTCTCCAGATCACCGGCAACCTGGATGCAGACACCTTAGCAATGATGAAGAAGCCCCGCTGCGGCGTTCCAGATGGAAAGATTGGTGAATTCTCCACCTTTGGAAGCGACCTCAAGTGGGACAAAAACAGCCTCACCTACAGGTGAATGATCTGAACAATGAGTGTGTAAGAGAACCTGTTGGTTCCATGTAACTACTCTGTGTATTGCATGTAAGTAACCATATGATTTTCTTCCCTTCAGGATCGAGAACTACACACCTGACATGTCCACATCAGAAATTGATGACTCCATAGAGAAAGCGTTTCAGGTTTGGGCCAATGTCACTCCTCTGAGATTCACAAGGATCTACAGCGGCATCGCTGACATCATGATCTCCTTTGGAAGCAGATGTGAGTCTGAATTAACTTCTTCTTTACCATTTCCCAGTCTCTTACTTTCACTACTTAGTTTGTTGGTTTTTCTTCCAAAGAAAGAAATGGCCTGTAGCCTCTAAGTAAGGAAATTAAGTAAAGAAAATCTGTAATTGTCTTATACCTGCATTTTCTGCAATGGCCTGTAGGGGAGACACAACGGTTTAGTTGTGGAGAAGTCAGTAAGAAAATTATCTTTGTTCTCAGATCATTTATTACCTCAGTAAACATTTTTATAGAGAATTTTTTTCTAGAATCAAGTCTTCTTCAATGCAGCATGATGTTCAGGAAAGAGGCTTAGCACTGCGTTTCCACCCTCTTCTCCAAATATTTTCCATTTTCATGGCTCCTAAAACCAAGATGGCAATTTCAGTTTCTTGCAACACATTGGAAAGCTACTGAACTGTAACACTCAGATGCATTCTGAAAACCACGATCCAACTGAATATTTAGAACAAATGTTATTCTACTTGGTTTGCAAAACTTGACCATGAGTAAATGTTCCTTCTAACAGCACATGGTGATTTTTATCCCTTCGATGGCCCTGATGGCATTCTGGCCCACGCCTTCGCCCCGGCTCCTGGCATTGGAGGAGATGCTCACTTTGATGATGATGAGACCTTCACTTTCCGCTCAAATTCAGGTCAGTTAGTTACCAAATGTATACTTTTGTTCCTTTTTTTTTCCAGCTGAACATGAGTTGCAACTAAACTTGCAATTTGATGATCTCTGCTGTAGGTTACGTCCTCTTCATGGTGGCTGCCCATGAGTTCGGTCACTCTCTGGGATTGTCTCACTCTGATGATGCTGGTGCTCTCATGTACCCCCTGTACTCATTCAATAAGCCTGAAACCTTTGTTTTGCCCCGGGATGACATCAATGGAATCCAGTCTCTCTATGGTGAGTTCTCATATTGGTGCATCTAGTGGTGCAAGTGCTAAAAACATTTGACCAAAAATCCTTTAAGAAAGTTCTGCACAATTGTTGATGATGTCATACAACTCAATGATAAGCCGATTCTATCGAACCTCCAGGTCCAAACCCTGACAAGGATCCTTTTCAGCCAGGACCTGAGCCCCCCACCACCCCTGATTCCTGTGATTCAACCATGGTGTTAGACGCTGTTGCCACCCTGCGAGGAGAGATGCTCTTCTTCAAGGACAGGTATTGTAGACACACAGCTCATTTCTTAAACATCACTGTAAGTCACACAAAATCTGACTTTAAAACTAATTTCTATTCTTCTTTGTTCTTAGCTTCTTCTGGCGTAGCCACATTCAGAGCTCGAAATCTCAGCAAGTCCTCATCACAAACTTCTGGCCAGATGCTCCCGTCAACATCGACGCCGCTTATGAAAGCCAAGTGTTGGACAGCGTCTTACTCTTCAAAGGTACAATATTAGTTCTGCAAATCAAACCAGAGCTCCTAATCAGAGCCAGACGAAGAATTTTTAAGATTTAAAATCACGTCATGTTTATACTAAAATCTTTTTTCCTTACAGGTCGTCGAGTGTGGGCTTTCAGTGGCTATGATATCGTGCCCGGCTTTCCCAAATCTATCTCCAGTTATGGTCTTGATGAAAGTGTGCAGAAAGTCAATGCAGCTCTTTATGATGCAGCAACTGGCAAGACTCTGTTCTTCGTAGGCAGCAAGTACTACAGGTATGTTGAAATAATAAGAAGTAAGATTAATAACATGCACTGATTGTGGTTTGTATGAATCAGTCTAATTCTTGCTTCTGTTTCTTTAGTTACGACGAGGCCAAGAAGAGAATGGATAAGGGATTCCCCAAGAATGTGGATCAAACCTTCAACGGTCTGACCGGGGAGGTGACGGCAGCTTTCCAGTACAGAGGTGAGCAGCATTCAAATCTAATCTGTGTTTTTGGGAAATAAAAATCTACTGAATCAGAGCAAATTTGCACAGGAATTGACATGCTGTTCTGTTCTGCAGGTTTTACTTACATTTACAGTGGACCGTACATGTTTGAGTACAGCCTGAGGAGTGGCAGACTGTTCCGAGTGCTGAGGAACGACTATTTCCTGCGTTGCAATAAGAACTAGACCAGTTCAGCCACTAAGGTGCTTACATAGCCACTCTGAGTGAGTGAAGGCACTATCGCTGTAAATGTGACAACATATTTTACAGAATTATATTGTTAAACATTTTCAGGTATAAACTTTATTGAAGTCCTTCCTGAGAAAAGCACCTAGTATTGTTTTGGTATATGTTTGTAACTTCTGAGCTTTTCACTTTTGCTATTTAAGATTAATTTATCTCTATTTTATGTATCTTATTTATCTTCATACTCATTGTTTGAGCATCTCTTTTAATATTCACCAAACTGTTTTAACTGTCTGTTTAATGAAGGTTAACTGATGACTACGGAGCATGTTGCATAAAAAGATTAATGACTGTTACAGATACACACACACCGACATTGCACTGAATTTGAAAACCATTGTGACAAGACAGATGAATGTATACCTGCAAAATTGTTAAAAATATGTGATGACACCAAGAATGTTCAATAAAAGTTGATTGAAAAGTAGTTTGATGTATCTTGTTATTTTTTTATTTGATGTTTAGAGCAGGGGTGCCCCCACTTTTTGGGCTTGTGAGCTACTTTTAAAATTACCAGTTCAAAATGATCTACCTGAATTAAAATATGCTAAATATATTCATTTATATATGTACTGAGTATACTTTATATGTACAATATATGTTGGCATGTTGTCAACATCTCATCCTCCACTGCAGACGAGTTCAGGTGAAAAAGTGTCGCAATTTTGATGCCAGTGAATCAACCTCAATATCTTCCCTGAATGGGTAGCGCATAAATGTGGCGATTGGCTTCGAGTAAAGCAAAGTCTTGAAACCGTCTGTCAAAGTCTGACAGACAATTTTCAATCTGCTCTGTGTAGCGCACACTGTCGAGTTGCGCGTGTAAAAGCCCTGTAAAAGGGGATATTTGAGTCAAGACACAAAACATTCCTCAGATCGTCTGTGTATTGACTGGTCGCAACATATTCACACAGACAGATGACAATAATCATCTAAACAAGCATAAATAAATACATACTGACAACAGAGTAGTAAGTAGTTTTCCCACAGGAAGCATACTGAATAAAAACTTATTACATAGATGTACACTGTAACACGGTATCATGGATGACTGTGCATTTGTGATGCTAATCGAAACTGCAGGCTAGACTGTTAGCTTAACTTGTAGTCACATATTTAACTTCAAAACTTCACAGAAAAATTACAAAAAAAAATTGTGCAATACAAACAACTTCTAGAAGGACTATACATTTTAGTATAACACCAAGGACAAGACACACAACACTTTTGTACAAGTTCATACCTGCAAAAGAGGATATTTGAGTCAAGAAACACAAAACATTCCTCAGATCTCCTGTGGAATGTTGAGGAAGCGCAGTGTCAGTTTACATTACTCAGTTGTGGTTGCACCCCCTGCTGGTGTCTCCTGATAACTACATCAACATTACTGCCAAAGGTGTTTGAAATACATTCAGCTAAAACACAACTTAAAACTTCTGTAACTGACTGTAATCCAGTAACAGACTACCATAACTTGAATCAATAATAATGTCTCATAGAGGATACAGTAATTGACACTCGAACAAACTATAATTATCTTGTGTCATTTCTAACTATAACACGCGCACGCCTTTCCTTGGGTCTCCAGCTCTGATGTGAGGTTTTGAAAGTTCCTCCAAATCATGGCACTGCAGCTTTGAGGATAGAAGTTGCATTTTTCATTTGAAAGCATTAACTGAACTTATCAAGTTGACCACGGTTTTGTCTTTTCCTTACAGCTCTAAATTGAGCTCATTCAGCATGTTAGTGAGATCAGTTAAAAACGCCAAATCAAGCAGCCACTGATCGTCATTAAGTTGATTGTATTCTGCATTTTTACTGACAACGAGAAACTCCTTTATCTCCGGACAGAGTTCTCGAAATCTCTTTAGGAATTTCCCCCTACTAAGCCATCTCGCGTCAGTGTGTAGCAACAGTCGATTTTCATTGCAACATCCATTATCTCTTTCATGTTTAACATTTTTGCACATAATGCTTGTTGGTGTGTTATGCAGTGGTAGTTAAAGAAGTCTGGGAAAGCATCGTCCTCCCTGCAATTGGCAATAAATCCATTCAAACGGCCCACCATCGCGGGCGCACCTTCTGTAGTGATTGACATTAAATTGCTCTCCGGGAGCTGGGTTTCCCCATAAAGTTTTTCAAAGATTGCCCATGTTCCATCATGGGCAGTATTGTTAACAGCTCCTCTTTTGCGGTCATATCGGTAAACACCATCCGAATAAAAAATGCACAATTGGGCTGTATCACTTATGACCGTTGACTCGTCTAATTGCAACGAGAAACACTCATAGTCCGCGATGTCCTTCCACTGCTGCAGTGTCAAATCATCTCCCATTACTACACAGCGCCGTGTCACTGTACTTCTTGATAGCTGAAGAGCTTTGATTGAAGATAATATTTTGGGTTTATTTTTAAAGTCCCGAAACAACGAGTTAGCTGCCTCAATGAAGGCCTCTTTTATCTGTCCATCTTGGGAGGGCTTTTTAAGCTTAATGGTGGAGTGACTCACCCGGTATGATGCCTCGGTGGCTAACTTTGCTTTTAAATTCACGTGTGTAAAATGACTGCTGTCCTGTTAACTGTGATTTTAGTTCAGTCACCCTTCTCTTTCTCAGCTCGCTTTTCGGAGGGATATCAGTGTCGTAGTTTTTATGAACAGTTCAAAAGTGCCTCTCCACATTTCCCTTTTTTGGAATAGCAATGGTAGATTGACAGATCAGACAAACGCAGAATATGATGTAGTGAAAAAAAAGAATCCTCCTCCCATTCCGCATGGACGTGGTAAGTTTTTGGTTTCTTACTTGGCCCGGTTCCCCCACTCATTTCCCTTCTTTAGTAGATATAATTTTGAAGGCTCGCTATATTTTTGGCGTAAGCTAGCTCACACGTTTTCTACGCGGTGACCCATGTTGTTAGAAGAGAGGAGAGTAGTTGTCATTAACGGTTAGCCCAATGAACACAGTTTGAAGCAACAGCAGACTGGCTGCCCTGTACATCAATCAAGTGGCAAATACCACATGGAGGATTGATGATAGGCTAACACTTTTTTAATGTTGCGCAATCTACCCTCACAACCTTTTCCATCTACCGGTCACGATCGACCTATTGGGCATCCCTGGTTTAGAGGATCTGCAGATTTGTAGAAAAGAGGGATTTACCATTTATCAAGCGCTTAAAAAAATGCTATAAAAACAGTTTCTATAAAAAAATTAAAAATAAATAAACATTAAAAGATTTCTTTTTTCCACATTGAATACATCTGTAAAGAGACAAAACAAAGAATTTATTGCTTCCACCGCCTGAGGCCTTTTGGAGCAAGTCGACAAAGTCTGGTTTTGTTTTTTTACTTCTTAGGACTCACTCACACTAGCAAAGTTGTCCCCGTACCAGGCTTAAGCACGATTGTCCCCCCTCCCCATTGCCCCACTGGCCTGCACTCACACTGTTCCAGAACGGTTGCTTCTTATACATAAGGTCGTAATACAACATATGAACGGCTTTCTGTTATTATGAAGCGTTCTTAGTTTACAAGACAGGCGGACTCGAGAAAACCAAAACGAGACAAAAAAAAAACATGCGCTGTCGGGTTAGCGTACGTACATCAAAGAACAACACCGAGAACATGAGCACTACTTTACTGACATTGTGGCTAATTTTGAGTCATGTTAGTCTGATACAGACATACAACTCAGGGATTTCTTGATAATTCAATTCAATTCAATTCTAAAAACATTAAACAAAAAATATAAAGTTTATTTTTAAATACAAAAGTTAAAATACAAAATAGATTAAAAAAATAGTAGAGATGTATGCGGACAGTGATCGAACTAACAGATGTAAACAGAACTGTATGCAGTAAACGGGAGATAAATTTACAGAGCTATGTGCAAGTAGTACTAAATGATAAAGTGATAGTGGTGCATGGCAAATATTAGAACAACAGAACTCAATATAAAAAGCTGTAAGATATATAATCAATGAATAAAGTGATCATAGTGCAATGGTGGATAAAGAGACAAGAGGAATAGAGTGTAACCAGAGCTGATGAAAGCTGATATAAATAGAATAAAGTGATGTAGTGCATGAAGATCAAATAAAGCAGAATGGGGTTAAGGTGCATGGCATATTTAAAAAGGAGGTAGGTACATTGAGAAACGTTCACAGCTTAGAAAGACTACATATAGGATGAGAGGTGTTTGTGTCTGTTTGGGGCGGGGGGATTGGAAGTGTGATTTTGGAAGGGGGGGGGGGGATTAGGAGTTAAGGGGCTAAGATACATAAAATAGAGTTAAATTCATCTTAAATAGCAAAAGTGAAAAGCTCAGAAGTTACAAAAATATACCAAAACAATACTAGGTGCTTTTCTCAGGAAGGACTTTAATGAAGTTTATACCTGAAAGTGTTTAACAATATAATTCTGTAAAATATGTTGTCACATTTACAGCGATAGTGCCTTCACTCACTCAGAGTGGCTATGTAAGCACCTTAGCGGCTGAACTGGTCTAGTTCTTATAGCAACGCAGGAAGTAGTCGTTCTTTAGCACTCGGAACAGTCTGCCACTCCTTAGGCTGTACTCAAACATGTACGGTCCACTGTAAATGTAAGTAAAACCTGCAGAACAGAACAGCATGTCAATTCCTGTGCAAACTTGCTCTGATTCATAAGATAAGATAATCCTTTATTTATCCCACAATGCGGAAATTTACAGTGTTACAGCAGCAAAGAGCAAAGATTGCAGACAAAAAGTGAACACAGTACAATTTAAATAAAAATTAGAATAAAAATTGTAGTCTTTAGATTTTTATTTCCCAGAAACACAGATTAGATTTGAATGCTGCTCACCTCTGTACTGGAAAGCTGCCATCACCTCCCCGGTCAGACCGTTGAAGGTTTGATCCACATTCTTGGGGAATCCCTTATCCATTCTCTTCTTGGCCTCGTCGTAACTAAAGAAACAGAAGCAGGAATTAGACTGATTCATACAAACCACAATCAGTGCATGTTATTAATCTTACTTCTTATTATTTCAACATACCTGTAGTACTTGCTGCCTACGAAGAACAGAGTCTTGCCAGTTGCTGCATCATAAAGAGCTGCATTGACTTTCTGCACACTTTCATCAAGACCATAACTGGAGATAGATTTGGGAAAGCCGGGCACGATATCATAGCCACTGAAAGCCCACACTCGACGACCTGTAAGGAAATAAAAAAGATTTTAGTATAAACATGACGTGATTTTAAATCTTAAAAATTCTTCGTCTGGCTCTGATTAGGAGCTCTGGTTTGATTTGCAGAACTAATATTGAACCTTTGAAGAGTAAGACGCTGTCCAACACTTGGCTTTCATAAGCGCCGTCGATGTTGACGGGAGCATCTGGCCAGAAGTTTGCGATGAGGACTTGCTGAGATTTCGAGCTCTGAATGTGGCTACGCCAGAAGAAGCTAAGAACAAAGAAGAATAGAAAGTAGTTTTAAAGTCAGATTTTGTGTGACTTACAGTGATGTTTAAGAAAAGAGCTGTGTGTCTACAATACCTGTCCTTGAAGAAGAGCATCTCTCCTCGCAGGGTGGCAACAGCGTCTAACACCATGGTTGAATCACAGGAATCAGGGGTGGTGGGGGGCTCAGGTCCTGGCTGAATCATAAGGTTACTTACATGCAATGCACAGAGTAGTTACATGGAACCAACAGGTTCTCTTACACACTCATTGTTCAGAAACAGAAAGCCGTTCATGTGTTGTATTACGACCTTATGTATAAGAAGCAACCGTTCTCAGGCCCGGTTAGTCCTGGAACAGTGTGAGTGCAGGCCAGTGGGGGAATGGGGAGGGGGGACAATCGTGCTTAAGCCTGGTACAGGGACAACTTTGCTAGTGTGAGTGAGTCCTAAGAAGTAAAAAAACAAAACCAGACTTTGTCGACTTGCTCCAAAAGGCCTCAGGCGGTGGAAGCAATAAATTCTTTGTTTTGTCTCTTTACAGATGTATTCAATGTAGAAAAAAGAAATCTTTTAATGTTTATTTATTTTTAATTTTTTTATAGAAACTGTTTTTTATAGCATTTTTTTAAGCACTTGATAAATGGTAAATCCCTCTTTTCTACAAATCTGCAGATCCTCTAAACCAGGGATGCCCAATAGGTCGATCGTGACCGGTAGATGGAAAAGGTTGTGAGGGTAGATTGCGCAACATAGGCTAACAAAAAGTGTTAGCCTATCATCAATCCTCCATGTGGTATTTGCCACTTGATTGATGTACAGGGCAGCCAGTCTGCTGTTGCTTCAAACTGTGTTCATTGGGCTAACCGTTAATGACAACTACTCTCCTCTCTTCTAACAACATGGGTCACCGCGTAGAAAACGTGTGAGCTAGCTTACGCCAAAAATATAGCGAGCCTTCAAAATTATATCTACTAAAGAAGGGAAATGAGTGGGGGAACCGGGCCAAGTAAGAAACCAAAAACTTACCACGTCCATGCGGAATTGGAGGAGGATTTTTTTTTTCCACTACATCATATTCTGCGTTTGTCTGATCTGTCAATCTACCATTGCTATTCCAAAAAAGGGAAATGTGGAGAGGCACTTTTGAACTGTTCATAAAAACTACGACACTGATATCCCTCCGAAAAGCGAGCTGAGAAAGAGAAGGGTGACTGAACTAAAATCGCAGTTAACGGGACAGCAGTCATTTTACACACGTGAATTTAAAAGCAAAGTTAGCCACCGAGGCATCATACCGGGTGAGTCACTCCACCATTAAGCTTAAAAAGCCCTCCCAAGATGGAGAGATAAAAGAGGCCTTCGTTGAGGCAGCTAACTCGTTGTTTCGGGACTTTAAAAATAAACCCAAAATATTATCTTCAATCAAAGCTCTTCAGCTATCAAGAAGTACAGTGACACGGCGCTGTGTAGTAATGGGAGATGATTTGACACTGCAGCAGTGGAAGGACATCGCGGACTATGAGTGTTTCTCGTTGCAATTAGACGAGTCAACGGTCATAAGTGATACAGCCCAATTGTGCATTTTTTATTCGGATGGTGTTTACCGATATGACCGCAAAAGAGGAGCTGTTAACAATACTGCCCATGATGGAACATGGGCAATCTTTGAAAAACTTTATGGGGAAACCCAGCTCCCGGAGAGCAATTTAATGTCAATCACTACAGAAGGTGCGCCCGCGATGGTGGGCCGTTTGAATGGATTTATTGCCAATTGCAGGGAGGACGATGCTTTCCCAGACTTCTTTAACTACCACTGCATAACACACCAACAAGCATTATGTGCAAAAATGTTAAACATGAAAGAGATAATGGATGTTGCAATGAAAATCGACTGTTGCTACACACTGACGCGAGATGGCTTAGTAGGGGGAAATTCCTAAAGAGATTTCGAGAACTCTGTCCGGAGATAAAGGAGTTTCTCGTTGTCAGTAAAAATGCAGAATACAATCAACTTAATGACGATCAGTGGCTGCTTGATTTGGCGTTTTTAACTGATCTCACTAACATGCTGAATGAGCTCAATTTAGAGCTGTAAGGAAAAGACAAAACCGTGGTCAACTTGATAAGTTCAGTTAATGCTTTCAAATGAAAAATGCAACTTCTATCCTCAAAGCTGCAGTGCCATGATTTGGAGGAACTTTCAAAACCTCACATCAGAGCTGGAGACCCAAGGAAAGGCGTGCGCGTGTTATAGTTAGAAATGACACAAGATAATTATAGTTTGTTCGAGTGTCAATTACTGTATCCTCTATGAGACATTATTATTGATTCAAGTTATGGTAGTCTGTTACTGGATTACAGTCAGTTACAGAAGTTTTAAGTTGTGTTTTAGCTGAATGTATTTCAAACACCTTTGGCAGTAATGTTGATGTAGTTATCAGGAGACACCAGCAGGGGGTGCAACCACAACTGAGTAATGTAAACTGACACTGCGCTTCCTCAACATTCCACAGGAGATCTGAGGAATGTTTTGTGTTTCTTGACTCAAATATCCTCTTTTGCAGGTATGAACTTGTACAAAAGTGTTGTGTGTCTTGTCCTTGGTGTTATACTAAAATGTATAGTCCTTCTAGAAGTTGTTTGTATTGCACAATTTTTTTTTGTAATTTTTCTGTGAAGTTTTGAAGTTAAATATGTGACTACAAGTTAAGCTAACAGTCTAGCCTGCAGTTTCGATTAGCATCACAAATGCACAGTCATCCGTGATACCGTGATACCGTGTTACAGTGTACATCTATGTTATAAGTTTTTATTCAGTATGCTTCCTGTGGGAAAACTACTTACTACTCTGTTGTCAGTATGTATTTGTTTATGCTTGTTTAGATGATTATTGTCATCTGTCTGTGTGAATATGTTGCGACCAGTCAATACACAGACGATCTGAGGAATGTTTTGTGTCTTGACTCAAATATCCCCTTTTACATTTGGAGGCACCGCTGGGATTGACTGAAGTGTGGTTGATATCCCATAGCAGAGGAAAACATCCCATATCAATCACCCCATATCATAAAAAAATAACTCAGGAGACAGAGAGAGGAGCTTTGATCAACATGTTAGCCAAGTCAGCGGAAGCATGTTTCCTGAGGTGAAGAACGTCCACTTAGGAGCAGCATTGTCATTGGTATAAGTGTTGCAGCCAGAAACTCAGGCGGACGCTGAAAGGTCGTTTCACTTGTCTTCACTTTATTGAAGTTTTAACAAAGACTCAGTACCTTCATTCACTCTGCCTATGAGTCTCTTCCGCTGCTGAATCATAACTAAAACTTTCCTGCTAACTCTGGAGCATCACAACAACAACAACTGTTCTTCCTCGAACCCCTGCATGTCACTGTTTTTTACTCAGACTCCACATAGTGGTGTAGATTATGCAGCGCATTTAATTAATAACATGTCAACATGAACTGCTTGAGCAATGTTGCAGTTCAGAAAAATACATTAACATTCGCAACTTTGAAGATGAATTCAAAAACATTATAAACTAAAGAATTTCAAAATGACAAGTACAACAAAAAATTAGTCTGTGGGGTCCCCGATAACCAAACAACAAACATCAAGGTTCTTAATTGACCTGTCACACTCTCCCCCACTTTAAAAATGGCGTCCCGACATTTTCATTATACCTCGTGGCCCTAAAACAGAAACACACGGACATTTGTGGAATGGATTGGGCATGTTAACATATTAACTTAGGTTATGAGAATCTAAGACTACCGTGCACTGCAGCCAAGTATACTCCTGATTTTATCAGTCTTTGCACCCAATCACTCGTGCAAGAATACACATCACAAAACCCAAGAAGTCATACACCAGGACAAGTCATGTCATTTTTTCACATTACAATTCTGAGACTCCATCCACACAGAACACACCAAGTCGGCCAACAATCTCTGTGTTCCCTATTACCTCATCAACACCAGGCACTTACATGTAGGTATAACAGTCAGTAGTGTGCAAGAATTATTATTGTTTTTTTGTTTTTTTCCTTTACCAGGGCCGCCAGTAACCTCCGACAGTTATCTCTCTAGTAGAAACTGTCCTTTCTGTGAAACTTGGCTGGCCAAGTGTGCTATAAGTCAAAGTCTGGGGTTGTCTCTTCCGTCTTAATGGATACCGAGCCCTCTGCTCTGCCTCCTCCATTTCATTTTCTGAGCTGTCCGTATCTGTTGTGGCTACGTCTCTTTCACTCTCCTCCGAAACCGCTGTGTGGACCTGGTCCCCTTGTTCCTCCTCAATAAGTTCACCAAACTCACTCAGTTCTGGGACTGTATGTTGTTCCTGAAGATGGAACTCCTGAGCTGTGGGATTGAGCACAGATGAACTTGAGTGTTCTGCTGGAGGCCATGTGAGGGTGAGTGCAGGAAAATCCTCATCTGTGTCATCCTCAACATCTGTTTGTGGTATGTGTTTACTCACAACTGTTTTCCGGCTTTTGTCTCTTTTCTTTGGTTGAATTGTTGTGGGAGTGTCACTATCAGGAGCAGTAACTGGGAGGAAGTCACATAGTAACAACATGTTTCTGTGGAGGATTCTGATCCTACCTCTGCCACTCTCTGGTTCCACCTCAAACACTGGACTGTCCACACCCTTCTGACTTTTGATAACATAAATACCATCTTCCCAGTAGGAGCGGAGTTTCCCTGGTCCTCCCCTTTCAGTCACGTTTCTCACCAGGACACGACTGCCCGCATACTCCTGACATACTCCTGTCATAATGTCTCTTTCCCCTGTCAGCTGATTTAGACGCGTTTCTGGAAGCGATGTCATAAGCCTCGGCCATCCTCCGTCTCCACTTCTCCACATAGTCCTGATGGGAGCCCGAACCATCCCGACTTTCAATACCAAACAGAAGGTCAACTGGTAGTCTGGGGGGCCTGCCAAAAAGAAGGAAGAATGGAGAGTAGCCTGTGGCTTCATTAGCTGTGCAGCATTAACATTGAGAGAAGCGTACGATTACATTTCTCTGTTTGGCTGTTTCCCTGGGGGTGAAATGGAGTGGTATGAGAGCCCTGGACACCAGAGAGTGCTTTCAGATGACCCAGCAGTTTGTTCTCAAACTCTCTTCCAAGGTCATGGTGCAGTTTTTCTGGGAAACCAAACTTGAGACAGAAATCATTGAACAATTTATCTGCTACTGTTTTAGCTGATTTGTTCGTAGTTGCATATGCTTGAGCGAAACGGGTATAATGATCCATCACCATCAGAATGTATTCATAACCACCTTTACATTCCTCCAAATGCAGGAAATCAACTGAGACCAGCTGAAATGGGTGAGTGGTTTCAATACTCATCATTGGTGCACGTGTCTGTCTGTTCGGCTTTCTTTTCTTGAGACACTCATACATTTGTCACAAAGTGTTCTATGTCTCCCTGCATTTTTGGCCAAAAGAAACGGTCTCTTATCAGATTTAGTGACCTTTCTGTACCTAAATGGCCCATTTCTTTGTGCAGCTCATTGAAGATGAGAGGGCGGTATACTTCTGGGAGTACCAGCTGACTTTTCGCTTGAGTCTTCCTATACATTGTCCCATCTGTCCTGATCTCCAGCTTGTCCCACTCTCTAGCTAGAGATTTGACCTCAGGACTCTCCTCCTTTAGTTCTCGTGCAGCTGGTCTTTTATTTTTCATTTTTAGGTCATAGATTTTGCCTATTACAGAGTCCAGTTGTTGAGCTGTTTTTATTTCTTCCCTGCATAATGGCTTCACAGTGTTTAGCAGATTCTCAGTCTCTACCTGTTCCTGAACAGCATTAAATGAAACAGAACTTAGGAGTGGACTGTGTTCTTCCTGTTGCGCCAGGATGCCCTGTTCTGTCGCCCTGACTGCTTCCTGACAGACTGACTAGGTTCACTGACTCATGTACTTATCGAAATCAAGTGGCAGTCTTGATAAACCATCTGCATCTGCGTTTGTTTTGCCTGGCCTGTATTTTACTGTGAAGTTAAAATCTGCTAGCTCTGCAACCCATCTCTGTCCCATTGCATTTAATTTGGCTGTTGTCAGTACATACGTGAGTGGATTATTGTCTGTGTAAACGACAAAGGAGGGAGCATGAAACAGGTAGTGCCTGAAGCGCTCACAGATGGCCCACTTAAGTGCCAGAAACTCTAGCTTACCAGAGTGAAGATGATAATTTTTCTCTGGAGGAGTTAATGTTCTGGATCCATAGGATATCACACTTAGCTTGCCCTGTTGCCACTGATACAGCACTGCTCCAAGTCCTGCCTGCAACGCATCCGTATGTAGGATGAATGGCTCATTCAGGTCTGGGTATCCTAGGATTGGGGGGTTGGAGAGTTTGTCCAGGTGACTCAAGATCTGCTGATGACTTTCAGTCCATGAAACTGGTGTTGCTGAAGATAACTGTCCTTGTTTTTCCCCTTTCTTGACACGTTGGATTTGTTTTTTGAAAGAGATGTAGCAGTAGGTGGACCTGCTAACAGTTCATACAAGGGCTTCGCTATACTAGAAAAGTCTTGAATATATGATCTGTAGTAGGAAAGGAAGCCTAAAATCTGTCTGACTTCTCACACTGTGCTAGGGTGTTTTTCCTTCAGTGCTTGTACAGGAGCCACCTCTGCTGGATCCATGCTATGACCCTCTTTAGACACTATCCTCCCCAAAAACCTCACTTTGGACCTAAACAGTTCACATTTCTTTGCTGTGAGTTTTACTACGTGTTGTTGATATCTTTTCAAAACTGTTCTTACATGCTCCACATGGTCTTTAAAGGACTGACTGTGAACTAAGTTATCATCAAGGTAAGGCAGGCAAATGTCGCCGCGTAAACCCCACAAACACTCCTCCATGCTCCTTTGGAATTCAGCAGGTGCTGAACTAAGGCCAAAAGGGATCCTCACCCACTGATTAAGGCCCAATGGAGTGATGAAGGCGGTGAGAGGCTGACTATCTTCATCGACAAAACCCTGGTGGTATGCCTTACCTTGGTCTAACACCGAAAACCACAAGCTTCCAGTAAGACTGTCCAACATATCTTGAATTCTAGGGATAGGATGTCTATCTGGCACTGACTTCCGATTTAGCTTGCGATAGTCTACACACAGTCTCAGTTCACCAGATTTTTTTTTCCACAGACGATGGGTGATGAGCAAGATGACTTCGATTTGGTACTCCAGCCCCGGTTAATCAAATCTTGCAAGTATTCTTTTACCTCCTGATGTAGTGGCTTGGGCACACTGATGTAAGTCTTTTGGACTGGTGTCTGGTCTTTCAAAGTGATGTGCAAGCAGAGTGAAGGGATGCAGCCTACATCATTCTCATCTCGAGCAAAGGCTGTGCACTCCTCCCTGAGCGTCTGTATAACTAGGGTCTGTTGGTCACTAGTTAAGTGATCTAAGACTACAGGAGGGTCCCAAACCTCACTACAGTCTGTGGTGGGGCATGTTTTGCCTGAACAGTCTGTCTCTCCTTGTGCAGTTCGTGTCTGTTCTTGTGCAATTTGTGTCTGTCCTTGTGTCACAGGTTCTACAGCTGCTGGGTACACTGCTTTAACACTCTCTAAGTGTCCCAGAATAACACGTGGGCCCAATGTAATGCTGTGTCCTGAGGTGTTGATCACAGAAATGGGGACAGTAGTCGAGTTACCTTTTTTCATGGTAAACAGTACTTCCTGAATGTGTGCAGAACAGCATTAAAGTATCTTTCTCCGTCTGTGTGCGCGCACGACATTTAACTGTGGTGGCTTCACCTGGAAGTAACACTACTCTATTTTTGCCTGTTTTTACTATCGTCTCTTCACTAGTAGCTTGGTGAGTGTGCATTAGCTGGACGAAAGTTTTGGCAGCACAAGAGTCAATGTCAAAGGCACTGCTAACAACTTCTGTGGTACAGTCATCTGCTGCAACACCCCCTTGTTGTTTAAGTTGTTCATTGATCACTTCCTCGATTACATTAAAGTCAATAATAGGGTCTACTGCCACATTAGGATCACTGGAAACCAGAACCGGAACTAGCAGGTTGGCGCTAGTAACCTCTGACCCACTAAGTTTAAACTCTACTGGTATCCACCACATGAATGGTATTTCAGTCTGATTAGCAGCAAGTCTGTTCAGTGGTTCTGGTCCTAAGAGTTCTTCTATTGGCCTTATGGAGCTATTAGGTAGGTGCTCTGCTCGCCATTTGTCATTTATAACAGTCGCTTGAGAGCCTGTATCCCACAGTGCTGTTACAGGTACATTATCGAAGGTACATTTTACAATTTTCCGCTTACCTATTAGTTAGTCTTTTACCCTGTTTTGCTGAAAGGTAATCAACTTTGCATGTGTCTGGGAGCTTGTATTTTTGTGTCTCTTCCTCAGCTAAGTGTTGCTCAACTAGCTTAACTGCTCTACAAAGTGATTTATGTTCCTGCCATTGACACTTCTGACATGCTCTGGAGCAGTATACTGTGGTTGAACAACCTGCACATGTTTTAAACTTTCTGCCTGTGCCCTCCTCCTGTAGGCAGCAATGGCAGTGGCGGGACTCTGATGGTTGTGGCTGGGTCACTGCTGGTCCCTCGGCATCAACCCTTTGAAGTTTCCCTGCGACTGCCTTGGAGCTCTGCATCCTCTGGAAACGTGGCCCGGCTGACCACACTTGAAGCAATGACTGCAGCTCTCTCCTTCTCCGTTGTCCTGACAGGTTCTGCAGCCTCTCTTGCGAATGTCTCTGTTCTTTGTTGTTCGCTTGGAGTGCTGTGGCTTTGTAGTGGTCATGGAAGCTAGAACCAGCCGTTTCATTTCTGCTACCTCCGTTTGAAGCTCTCTTACCAGGGTGTGCACTTCTGGCTCAGGAGGGGTTTGAGCCGCCTTGATCTTTTCCTTGGAGAGTTCTTTTGTGCTCTTCTCTGGCTTTGCGTTAGGAATTGAGGAGGAGCCCTGTGAGCTGTCCCAGTTGCTGGTAGTCTGCAGCTCATTCACTTTGGGTGCCTTTGTGCTGTTCCTCTTCAACTTATTGAGCCTCTCATTTTCAAAGTTAGCTGCCTCAGTTATTTTTTCAATCAGAGTTTCATCTGTCACATCCGGGTTGTCTAGTAGAAGCTTGATCTGGTATTTGATATTGTCATTAAGCAGTCCTGTCCCCACAGATCTTAGGAACTTCTTTTTGACTAGGTCTGCACTATAGTGTTCCTCAGATCCTCTCCCCTTGGATGCAAAAAGCAGTCTGTCTTTTAGTTCAATAGCTCTGAACAGAAAATCTTGTGCTGACTCTTTTTGCTCTTGAGAGATGCTGATCAGTTTTTGGTACAGATCTGTCATGTCGTTGTCTTTGTAATGCCCCTTTAATATTGTTTTAAGCTGAAACATGGTCAAATCAGTCTTTATTTCAAGCATGTCGCGTAGCTTTAAACCTGGGCTGATGGCCCTTATCACTGCTTCAACGACTTCTGACTCACCATGCCCCTTGCGGAGCCCGCTGTCTATCTGGTGCATGAGGTTAGTGAAGGATAGCTTGTCACGCTGTCCCCCTTCGCCGATTTGGCCACAGATCTTAAACTCACAGCGAATAGTTACTTCTGGCAACTTAGGTGAAGGGTCCTGGACAGGGACGATTGTGGGGATGTTTGGTATGTTCAACTTTTCTCCAATACTTTGTATTTCCTCATCCAAGGCTTTACGGGACTGCTGCAGCTCGCGGTATTTTTCTTTCATCTCTGTCATGTGGCGCGATTCCTGCTCTCCTCCCTCACTGCGTTTCGCCATCTTGCCTTC